ATTCCAAATCCTGACTATGACGAGGTGACTGTTGAGCTGATGGAGGAAATCAATGCAGAGTTAGCTGGTCAAAAAAAGCAGCCTGCAAGTGTGACTGCTTCAATGGATGGTGCTCCACTGAAGAAGAAGAAGAAAAAGGGTATGACTGTTGAAGAACGCCTCACAGATGCAACTGGAGAAATGAGAGATCTGCGTCCTCTGATTAAGCAGTCCGTTGATACAATTGCTAGGGCACTTGGGGAAAGTGATGAACTGAATACTAAGCGAGATAATCTGGTGCAGAGTTTGGAGCAGCTTGGTGGGCTTACCAGAGCTGAGATCCTTACTGCAATGAGGCTGCTTTCCAACAATGATCGAGACTTGATGGCATTCTATAGGTTAGAAGACATATTAGACAAGATGATGTTTGTGAAAGGGTTGCTAGGTTGAGATCAGTGTTAAGATTAAGTAATCTGGACTTGTATGCAAGTCTTTTTGAGGAGTATGCTGCCAAAATGACTGAACATAATTGCAGACTGCTTGGTAGTGGTAGTTCATGGTAATCCCAGCTCGTACATGGAGCTTCTTTTGGGGATTGCATTGAGCTTTGTTGGTATTGCTTATTCTGCTTTTCTAGGTGGCTGGATATGGATTGTAACAGGTGGTTTTGTTCCTGGATTGAATTGGTTGAATCTATTTTCCTTTTCAGTATTGTCTCACAGTAGATGAGTTTTGAGTTCTGCATATTTCTTTTGTTTTATAATGACTTTGCAGGGTGCATTTAGTTATCATTGTGATTCTGAATGCTTGATATATATATTGACCACTTAATTAACCATTTGAAGAAGTAACAATGTTCCCCCTGGAGGCAAAACAATTCAATTACAGATCACACCAATTCAATTACACAACAATTCAATAACATGTAAAACCAACTCCATACCAATTCAACGCCAAGTCTAAAAAATGAAGCAATATGAGTTCTTTAACTCTGGGGTTGGACGGAATGGATCAGGGGAGGTATTGGGGAATGGAAAGGAATGGAAGGTTAGGTTAAGGAGTTTGGCCTCTTCCCACAATGAACGGTGAAGAAGAACTCGACAAATATTGCAGGGAGAGTGAGGGAAGGACTGACGGGGAAGAAGAGCTCGCAAAGACGAAGGAGGAACCCACTTTTCTGTTCTTGTGTTGTTCTCTTCCCTCGTGTACAGATAAGCAGATTTGAAGGGTAAAATTGTCATCCACCATTTTTGTTTTATAATCCCATATTTGTTGCCAAACGAGTGATTTAACAGAGAATTCCACACAAATCTCTCGAATTAAAAACCTGGGTTTTTAAACGAGTGATTTAATCTAAAATTCCTTTCAAATCTCTTGAATTAAAAACCTGCATCCAAACCACCCCTAAAGGTATTTTTAGATTTCCCTCTTCCATTCCTTGGACTTTCGTCCAAAACTTCTCTGTCCCAAGCCAATTCCAAGTCCCATTCATCCAGGCCCCAGGCCCAAAGAAATTATTCCCCTGGCCGCCACCTTCACCAAAGAAACAATTTCGCTGGGCCTTGAGCCCAAGTGAGTAGTCCACCAGTAATTCGAGCCCGATTTATTGCTTATGCACTCGCTCTTTTTCGTGCTTTCTCCACCTGTAACATATCAAACTCATGGCACTAGGCAGTAATGGTTTTTCAACCATTTCCAAGTTAGCGAGCCCTAAAATAGCACCAATTGGCTTAAATACATCATGAGATAGTCACATAAAGTTCAAGAATCCGATATATTAAAGCCGATTATCAATCATCCTTATTGCAAAAAGAACCAGAACATTCCAACCTACAATTCTCCTCATTCCCTGCCGTATCTTGATGACTTTGTCCATGCATGTTTCCACGTGAGTCTTCCCATGCATGAGCCTTGTCCACGCAGACACCATGCCCACCAGCACCACAATAGTCATCAAGAACAAAAGCACGTCCAGTCTTACTTCCCCTCCCGAGCACCCTCCCCATCTCCCGATCATGCACAACACAACTAGTCGAATCAAACATGACGGCGCAACCATCATCCGTCAGCTGACCCACAGAGACCAAATTCGGACGGAGTTGAGGAATATAAAGGGTGTTCGAAAGAGCAATCGATCCAGTATAACCGTTCCCGAGCCATGAACTAGAATAGTGACCCCATTTGCCACTTGAAGGCTCATAGAATCCACCGGACTTAATTTGGCAAAAATAGTACGATCACGGGTCATGTGATTAAATGCGGCGGAATCTAAAAGCCAACGAGAGGACTTACCCTGCAAAATGGTAGTGGCAAAGGCCGAGGAAAGAGCCTCCTGAAGGGCATCCTGCACAAGGCGTCGAATCTGGTCCGGCGTAAGAGAAGCCCCCGAACTGCCACCAGCTGCTGTAGAGCTACCCTCGCCTCCACCAAGGGTCACAGGATACGCTGCCCGTGCCGAATAAGAGGAACCCGTAGACGAGGATGGACGAAGCTTGCCACGTCTACTCAGCGTAGGGCACTCCAGCACAATATGTCCTGATCGCTTACAATAATTGCAAAAATTCTTCTTCTTGCAATGGGTCTGAATGTGACCTGGTTCCCGGCAAAAATGACAGATAAGTTCAGTGGTAGCGGGAGAACCAAACTGAGGCCGAGAAGCAGCAGGAGGGCGGCCAACAGCAAAGGCAGATTCGGAGCCCGAGTTGTCTATCTGAGCTTGACTCTTCAGACGAGTTTCTTCTCTCATCAACTCAGCCACGACATCATCAATCTGAGTAATATTCCGGTGAATCAACGACGCACGAATCGACTCAAATTCAGAGCGAAGTTTGGCCAAGAATTGAAGCACCTGAGTTCGAGATCGTTCGGCGACCACAACAGCAGAAGTTGCAACGGGAACGAGTGAAGCCATCAACAGGTCGTACTCGGTCCAGAGATGGAGACTAGCTTGATAGTAACCACGGATATCTCGATCACCTTGGGCCAAGCGTGTGATCGCTGTCTCTAACTCAAACTGGCGTGATGCACTGTTCTGAGCATACGTGGTACAAAGATGACGCCACATATCACTCGCCGCACTGAACCGCCGAAGACTCAAGCCCGTAGGCATGTCGACGGAACCTAGAAGCCAAGTGATCAAACGAGCATTTCCCTCATTCCAATCCTCGATATCTCGCACAGGAGCATCAGCCTTAGGTTGCTTAGTCTCGCCGGTTAACACAGAGAGAAGGCGCTTCCCAGCTACAAAATTGCGAAAGTGAAATTCCCAAATTGCAAAATTTTTATAGTCAAATTTAATGGAAACCGAATCCATCTTCCCAAGATCCATGATGCCCAAATCGAATGAAAAAACCACCCGAGACACATGCAGCCCACTACACGCACAACAAACAATGGACCCTAATCTGCATCAGAACCAACCCACGACCAAAAAACAGCGGACAAAGAATCCCAAAGCTGCAGCACACCAACACCGCCGTGAGACAACAACGAACTAATTAGAGCTGAGGCTCTGATACCATGTCAATTAGAGCAAACAAACTATGACAAACGCAAGCGATTTAACGTGGTATCCCTGACTAGCAGGACTAATCCACGGGAGAGACGACACTCTCCAAAATATCCACTATGATCGGAATTGCTTAGTTCCATCGGCTGTATCAGCTAACATATATATAGAGTACACGGATGTTAATAGGGTTTAGGATATTTACAAGATGGTACCTATACAAATAAACTTCAACAACTTATACTTCTCTATTTGCTCCATTGTCGATTACACATGCCCCGTTACATCTCTTACTTCTCGAGCCACGCTAGTCTACAAGAAATCGTACCAAGTCATCATAAGTCTTTGGGAGGTATGTGGCAATGTGCGAAGTGGGAGGGAGACGTCGAGAGGATACATCGACAAAGTTGAGAGTTGTCAAATAGCCTGAGCTCTCAGTTTTTAACTAAGTTGCTCTAGATTTGACCAAATCCGAAATGAAAAGAAATTGAATATGTACATTTGATAAGGGATCTAGACTCGGTTGAACCGAACCGACCAGTTAGGTCAGAGCTAGATTAAGACCCATGCATATCTCTCATATTGTGATAGACTTTAAATAAATCTCTCATTCCAATCCACTACCAGAGATGAAAACAATAAAAGCTACATCATTCTTGGAGAATATGGAAAGGCCGATGCAAGGCTACTTATGGACACGTTTTATACATGTCACATGTTTTATACAGGCAACTATTAGCACAGGTGGAGGAATGAAGAATGGCAGAGGCACAGAAGGTTCAAAGATCCGAAGAAGTTCGAAGGTCAATGCCTCACTCTTCCACAGGCCAAGGTCCTCATTCAAGGAGAACAGATGTTTCCCTCTCTAGTGAAGGTATCCTAGTTCGTTTTGACGGGGCAACAAAAATCCCTCAAGGATGTGCAACTGGCTTCGTCAGCTTTTTAGGTGATGGAAATATAACATTTGCAATTGGTAAATTCTATTAGGGCATCTCAGATGCCTATATATCATAATTACTTGCTATTCGTGATGCTATGAAATGGTATCTCACCCACAACTTCTTGACTGTCGTTTTTTGTGGGGACTCTCAATTGGTAATCAAGGATGTGACATCAAAGAAGGCTTCGCATTCAAGAGCGGGAGCTATATTAGAGGAAGTTCACTCTCTCCTTTCCTCCTTCCTATATGTCTCGTGTCTTTTTGCTCCTCGGAGCTTCAACAGAGCTGCCCACTTCGTGGCAAAACATGCTCTTTTATCGGGAGTCCGGTTGCATACAGACTACCGTTTTTTTTTAGGTCTTTCTTGTAATTGTGTTGACCGGCCATGCCTTGGGGGCTTATCTTGGATAAAAAAAATCCACTACAAGAGTTGGGTTGGTTGAGGTGACCTTGGCGTTTGTAATTGCTGATATAAAAGCAAAATCAATATAATGGGCTTGTTAGTTAAGTAAGAAGAGCCAAGTTATTTTAAAAATATTCCAATAAAAATAGTCCAAGCTCAAAAGCAACAATTCATTCATGGTTGATGAAAGAAGCCCAACTGTCGAACAAGCCCGCAGCCGCTTCACAATCAGGATTAAAAAGATGGAAAATATGATCCTCTCCTTTCGTCTCCACCAACTCCACTCTCACTTTACCATTCTGCCCCTCACTTCTCGCCAAACTACGATAGTAAGCTTTCCCTCTGTCGCACAGAATGTCTCTCTCCGCCACGAAAATCGCCACCCGCTGGCAGCCCAGCTCCTCCGCACTTGGCGGGGCTCCGCCCACAAACGGATTGATGTACGGGTCGTCACAGCCTTCGTTCGACGGGCAGACGAACGTCCACCAGTTGTCCACCATCGCTTTCCTCGCTCCGTCCGCCTTCTCCAATCCGATTGGGTCTTTTCCCCAGAAGTAGGGATGGATCATAACTAGGCCGTGAATTTTTACGGCCAGTGAGCTCCGGCACCGACGGAGTGCCAAGTGGTGGATTATGTTAGCGCCGGCGCTATCGCCTGCAAGCATATGGGGTACCGGAATGAGAAATCAATTATTCAAGAAACTAAATAATATACCGATTATGTGGTTCATTAATACAATGTGTGATAGCTCATTTATATGTAGAAGAATAGATTAATTTTTTTATACGTGACAAGAAAGAAATACTGGTTACAGAGATTGATTGAGAAAATATATATCACATTCTCTTTGGTCTAGTGTTAATTAATTCAAACTTGGAAAGAAAAAGACTACAGATCAGGGACAAAATAGTAGGGGAAATGTATATAAGCAATTCATCATGTATATATCACATTCTCCAAATGTTGTAGCGTTTAATTAATTAAACTTGGATAGAAAATGACTCCAAACCGAGCGCTTTGCTTTTGCACCCCGATTCACTGACTGGACAACTAGGTCATCGTGACTTTCAGTCGATGATAGATAATCCGACTTCCGGTCATAGTAATAATTTGAATGTGTAAATTTTTCAATTTGTGAAGTATTTCAAATATATGATAATTTTCTGATAAAATTTACATAAAAATGTAGTAAATATAATTTATATAAGCAAATCATTTCTAACACATCAAAATACTTCATTTGCCATATTGTAACTACTTTATATTTTTCTTAATTAAAATATTAACCGTGTGTCTCCCACTCAACATCATGTTGCCAACTTAGCATTACAATCAAAGAGTTTTGACAGAAAAATTAACAATTAACCAATAATTTTTTTTCTCAAAATAATGACTAATAATTTTAAAAAAATCTAACTAACAAATTATATTTGCTCTATAAAAAAACCTCAACTTGTCGCACGTTACCTGCAAGGAATACTCTCTCGAAGTCCGCATACTCCCGGAGCCACGGCTCGTCAACTTTCCCTCCGCCGCCGGCGAGCCATTCCAGTGCGGCCCACGAATCTTCGTACGCGGCGGGGAGCGGGTTCTCCGGCGCCAATCTATAATCAACCGAGACAGCAACAACTTCTGCCTCCCGTACCAGGCGGTTGAGGCCGTGGTGGTACATGGGCTCCGCCGGCGACGCCACGATGAACGCTCCGCCGTGGTAGTACACCACGACGGGGATCTTCCGTCCTTCGGGCACGGACTTTGGGCGGTAGATTCGGGCTGATAGGTTGGTCGACGATGAGATGACGATGTCTTTGGACAGGACGCCGGTTTCCGGGTCGAACCCGGCGGGTACGGAGTCGGTTCCGGCGTACCGCTCGACGGTTCCGTCGGTGTGGACCCGGAGAAAGGGGAACACGTCTCGGGAGATTTGTCGGGCTGGAGACATTGTGGGAGGGGATTTAGGAGAATGAAGGGAAATGAAATGAAATGAGCAAGGCCATATAATTAGTGTCTTTTATAAGAAAAATAATAAGTAGGATTAGAGCATTCTTTTTCTCGTCCCTTTACGATTAGATTTCTATATGTGCTTCTTGGAATAAAAGCTCGCCCACCTATTTGGATTTCAACATTCAATCCCCAAACATTATTATTATCATTATCGTCTTAACTTAAAATGAGAAATTACTTAACCGTCTTCTTTGTGACAAAATAAATAAATCATATTTCTACCAAAAAAAATAAATAAATCATATAATTTTTTCTCTACCAAAAAAAAAAAAACTGTGATCAAATAGGTATGTAGGATGTTGAGCAAGAATTTCGATCAGGCGGCTACTCCCTCTAAGAGGAGTTTCGATCGGACAGGAGTAGGTGGCAGCATGTGGCGGATGGATTTCGAGAGAGAGAGATATTTTTTTATATTGTTTAATTGTGTTTGTTATCGGCTAACAATGTCAAATAAGAAGGGAAAAGAGATCATTTTAACTTTTAAGTTATAACGAATAAAGTAAAAAATAGGAAGACATTTAGCAACCCTCGAACTATAGTGGTGCTCACATTTTCCTTCTTTTTTGCTATTTAATCCTATCGCGCATTATTAAATGTATCATTTGGTAAATCTATATTTTCTTTCCCATGAATAAGTTAAGAATGCATTGGATTAATGAGTTACGTCTAACTTAATAACCAACAACATAAATCAATTGGTATTCGAGGCGAACTATCGATAATGAACCAAGTTCTGATCCATTAAATCCCTTAGGGGGATAGTTACACCAGACGAATGCACATTTTTCACAAAAATATGCTCCACCAAGTGTATCTGTGTACGTATGAACTACAAATCCAACGAATCGAATAGCATCCACCTTGGTAATGCAAGATTGCGTTCGAGACATTACTCTTGATTAACGTTCTATCCACAACCAAATACAAATAAAATCGTTTTATCGCCTACAAAACGAAGAACACAAACCATAAATGCAATTAGATTCTCAAAATACTTAAAAGGTGACAAATTAAAGAACATCATAACAACTAGGGCTGGCTATTTGGACCGGCACCGGATGAAAAACCGGAAACCGGACCATATAACCCGGACCGAGACCGGACCGGGACCGGATAGTAAACAATCCAATCCAATTTTTGGGCTTAGATTTGAGGTAAAAAACCGGATAAAGACCGGATAAGAGAGCTCAACACCCAAAACTTAAGGGTAATTTGCATAAACGGTCACAAACCTTTACACTTAGTACAAAACTTAACCAACTCCTCACCCTTTTAGGCCTTAGGCCACTCAAATTCCCACAATCTCAATATAAAATCAAGACCGAATTGGGACCGGACCGGGTCAAGACCAGACCGGATCAAGACCGGACTGTATCCAATCCAATCTTCGGTCCTTATATTCTCAAAAAAACCGGACTGGACCGGATCAATTTGGGCCAATTTAACCGGACCGGACCGTATAGCCACCCCTAATAACAACACTAAAATGACCATGGAGAAGCATATAGCCTTGAACCTAAATGCACGTTTTCAATTGAAAAAAATTAAAACTACAATGATTGATTGCCCTTCTGTTAGGTGCCTAGTCTCTTATACTTTAAATATTTAGAATGACTTAACCCAAAATTCATTTTGTTTTATTTTGCTTTATTAAGGACCAAGAAAGGTCAAAGTAATCACTCTGTTGATAGTTGGTGCCATTTGTCAGGCACTCGCCCGCCACGAAAGCCGCTGCTAATATTCCATCAAATATGTGATTTTGTATTCGAGGGAGACGGCACACCTTAATAGATCCCATAATCTTCTTCTTTTTGTATTCTTTTGGCAAAAAATATAGAGTTTTAGCAAAATTGTTATCGATGTTCTGAATTCTCAACAAATTTCTATATTGACGATGAAAATTATATGAATGATAAGTCATTCTTGTTCTCATAATTTTCATTGACGATGAAAATTAATCATTGACCAACGACAATCAAACTTTGTTTGACTATCCAAAATGTGCATGGTGCCTTCGTGTCCTCTATGTAGATGAAAAATAAATTAAAAATTGTAATAGATAAAAACAAAATTAATTTAGTATATATTTGAAATTTATCCTTTTACAATTCTCACTCTCGAATTCTGAAATTCCTAAACATATACAGTTTGGTATAAATGAATTTCATAAAATTTGAGAAATTCATTTTGAAATGAAATAGTTTTGTGTTTGGTATTAAAAATAATTCATTTTCAATTCTAGACTTTGAATTCTATGGATTTAGAACTAGTTATAGCAATTTCGAGGAATTGACATGAAATTTCCAAATGAATTCCACAAGTATTTACTAATTATAACAGAATGACATAATTACCTTCTTTTATTAACTAAATTACTTGTACATATGGCATACCAAACACAAGAATTCATTTGATAATGAATTCTACACGACACATCATTTTATTTCTAAAGATTTGAATATAACATACCAAACATAGGATTTCATTTGACAATGAATTCTATACGATAATTCATTTTACAATGAAATGAATTCTCAATTCATTTGGTAACAAACAGTCTGAAAAAGAAGTTCAAGTCAGGTGGATTCAGTTGTTAGCTGAAAGTTAATTATATCCGAGTAGAAAGATGTCGTCGCTTCCCCGTACAATGTCGCCGTCATCTCCATCATCATCCTGTTCTCCCCCGCCATCTTCTACGACGGCTCCCTGATCTTCCTCTTCTCATCTTCATCATCATCTACATAATCTCTCCGCTGCTTCTCGTCGCCATCGTTACCAACATAATATTGGTCTCCTTCCACGATCTTTGCAGACTGTTCCTCGAATCCATTTGGCACTGTTTTATTATCATTTTTGTTCGTTGGTAATTTCACGTTTTTCAGGAGATTTGAAATCAAAAAAATCTCCTTAAACTTCCAATTGTCGTTGTTGCTGCATCTATGATTGTACAGGAAACACACAAACGATCAACCGAATCATTAGAAGTAATTTTTTATTTATTTTATTTTCTTTATTATTGATGTGTATATGTATACACATCAAAATTATTACGTGTACAAGTTTCAGATATAGGTAAGCATAACTTGTATATTAAGTGTCATGTTCAATCATTCATAAATTATTCACTATAAATTCTTTCAACAACACCACGAATTACTAGATTAAATTGGTTTGCCCTCCACCGAGAGCCTTAACTCTTGCCATTGAAGAAAGCCACCAGCCGCTTGATCAAAATCCCCGCCTTCTCGCTCTCCAAATTGTAGAGGTGGAAGCAATGCCCCTCACCTTCAATCTCAACAAACTCAGCACCTCCCTTCCACCCACTCTTCTCCACTCCTTCATAATAAAGCCGCCCTCTGTCTCTCAGCCCATCTTCACCCGCCACAATAACCATCACCCTCTTGCTGCCCAAACCCATCAGCGACGGCGCCTTCGGTCCGACCGGGTTGATTCGCGGATCATCATTATCCGGACTCGACGGACACACAAACGCCCACATGTTGCCTCCTCCGGGCCGTCGATGGATAACCTCCGATTCAGTGGGCTTGGACCCAGAAAAGTAAGGGCACACCAGAGCAATCCCCGAAAGCCCAACTCCAAGCCCAAATTCCGGGTCCCCAACTGCCATCGCCAGGTTATGGACGATATTACCCCCCGCGCTCTCGCCTGATAATAGGACTCGGTCGAAGTCCACGTGATCGTTCAGCCAGGGCTCGGGCCCGTTTCCGGCCCGGTGAGATACGGCCCAACGGATCCCGGCCCGGGCGTCATCGTACGCCGCTGGGATCGGATGCTCCGGTGCTAGCCTGTACGCGAAGGAAACCACGACGACGCGCGCCTCGGCGGCGAGGCGGGACACGTAGCGGTGGTACTTCCCGCAGAAAGGGGAGGAGATGCAGAACGCGCCGCCGTGGAAGTAGAGTAAGAGAGGGAGTTTCCGGTGGCAGTGAGGAGGGAGGTAAAGGCGGGCGGAGAAGTTGGAGTTGATGACGACGTCCTTGGAGGAGACGCCGCCGCCGCCGACGGAGATGGAGGGAGGGACGAAGTCGGTGTCGCGGAGGCGCTCCACCGTGCCGTCGTCGTAGACTCGAATCGTGCCCGGGAATTCCGTCACTATTTTCCTCTGGTTGGAATCGGAAGAAGCCATTGCTGTTTTCCTTTTTTTCTTGGTGTTGTTTCTAAGACATTAATTTTTGTCTTTATATAAAGCCTTAGTATTGTTGGGAATTTTAGTGGTGTGAATGGAAATAAAAGGGGAAAGTTTCAAGAGAGTCTCTTGAAGTACCATGTTGGTAAGATGTGAGAAGGCATGGCCTCGAATTCGATCGATTTGATGTAATATGTGGTTAGTTGGTTAAATTGGTTTGTGTAACCAAATGAACCAAACCGAGTTGAACCAAATCGAACCGAACCGATGTGGCGGTTGGAATAACCAAACCGGTCCAACTTCCATGAGGCCGAACCAATGCAATGGTTGAAATATTTTAAACGAACCAATGCAATGGTTGGGGTGTAACCACCCATATGAAGAGTTGCCTCCCTTCAATGCATCCCTTCATTCTCTATAAATAGCACCATACCCCCTCTTGTTTTAACAACGAGTTTTACATAGATTTTTCCCGGTACTGAAATTCTGCCAAAATCCAAAACTAGTTTTTTCTGCATTTCTTTTCAAAGAGAAAATAGAGTCAAGTGTGGTTCTCGCCGTTTCGCTGCGTTCGATGGTGTTTCCGGGGTTTGAGGTACCGCTACGCCGGAAAAGGTACGTCCTTTCTATCCTGGGAGGAATCATTCCACAACCTTGGGTACTTGAGGGGAATAAGATTCTTTAAGGAGAGATAGTGAATTCTATCGGCTAGGACGCTTGCATGTGTCTTTACATGTATTCCTTAATCTTATGTGTTTGCTTGTGTTGCAAGAAAATAGTATACGTGAACAATTTCCCAAACAAGTATTCCATCAACAAATATGTTAAGGTGTTGAAGGCCGGGCGCGGTGGTTGTTGTTTCACCATCGATCGCCATTAGCGTGTAAGAAATAGATTGTACAGGCTTGTAACTATTGTCAAGGCTTTGTATATATATACCAGCAACAGCAAGCTATTGTCGGCAAAATTTCGACTTTGTACTAAATATACATGTGGTGCATAATTAATGGCCGGCCGGCTTCTGGTCCACTTTAATTTACTCTAGCTAGAAGATATGATTATTCTACCAAAAAAGGTAGATACTATTACCGAGGCCCAGATGTAGTATTTTTCGATTCGTATTATTTGGTACCAATTATCACATAAATATACCATATGTTACGGTACGCGTGTTATTTGTTGTGTGACATTTGTATGAAATATCACATCTAGATGGATTATAATAAGCGGGTATTGTTGATGTGGTGTTTGCATTCAAATTTTTTTTTTTTTTTACCAATTTTCCCTTCTTAACTTCGTCTCTTTCTGGTTTTGCAGTCAGCGCGTGTGCATACTTGGTCAACATGCATTTGTGTACGATATTAATATATGTACATAGTTGTATACGTCATTTTAATATATCAGGGTGCTTAAGAAATTCTTAGAAATTGGGGTCGGTTAGCATGCCTACCCCAAAGGGGTTGGTGTTTTGACACCGCTTTCTTGATTGGTCAACTTTTACATTAATCATTGACAAGTATTAATGAAAGTAAACATAATAAATGTTCTTTTATTAAATTCAAAGTAAGAATTAAATACACCACATTAATTACTTACTTTTTTTTAAATATAAACCTATACAAAATACTATTCTCTCTCATATCTCTGATTTTTCCTTTCCCAGCAGCCTCCGACCACCAAGTTTCCTCCGACCACCACACTTCGCCGGTGAAATCCCGTCGACAGAATCTCTCCGGCCACCTGATATGTAGTATACTTAGATCTGACATTTGTACCAGTACACTGATATCGCTACCAGTGGAGTGGTATCGCTCCCAGTGTATTGGTAGTGCTACCAGTGCACTGGTATAAATATCATATTTTTAGTTTAAGTGTAGTGGTACAAATATCAGTGGAGTGATACAAAAATCAGATCTGGAAATCGAAAAATCAGATTTGAAAATTGAAAACTCACCGGGAGAGGGGCTTGGGAAGGAGTCGGTCGGAGATTGCTAGAAAAGGAAGGATCAAAGATATGATAGAGAAGGATTAGAGATAGAGGAGAGAATTGCATTTTGTATAGGTTTTGATTTTAAAAAATGAAAGTAATTAATGTGTTGTATTTAATTTTTAATTTGTATTTAATAAGAGTATTAAATTCTATAAGTTGCATTTATTATGTCTACTTTTATTAATACTTCTCAAATGATTAATAAAAAAATTGACCAATAAGGAAGGGGGTGTCAAAAAAACCGACCACCCAAAAGTTATAAAATATGAAAATTTTAAACGGTATTCAATTCAATATGTACTGAGTTTTAAACGTTGTTTTAATGTAATAGTGTGTCATCAAGTCATATTAAATCGTTGTTAGTGTGAAGCATAATTAAGGTAAGAGAGGCAATCAATAGTGGTTCTAGAGATAATTGGGGAAAGAGAGGCAAAGGCAAAGTAGTCATTACCCTAAACAAAATGATAACATAATTAGAAGAAAAAAGACAATAGCTTGTTATTTTGAGAATATCAATTCAGTCCTCTCTTAAAATGTGTCAAAGAATAAGTTGTAGTATTTGTAAATAACAAATATCAAAGGCTAGATCTCTTTTCTAGATCTCCGGCCAAATGTATTAGTGGAGACCAATTATCATACAAAATAACACATCAAACGACCAATGGGCGTTCTGTACGTATGAGTGTACTGCATGCATGGTAATGACCAGGCGTGAAAATTGTATGGGTAGGTCTTAGCGTGCAAGAAATAGACAGGTGGTGGCGTTGTGTACCAGCCAATAAGTCAGGTCTAGGCTTGTGTACCAGCCAATAAGTCAGGTTTAAGCTAGTACCTAGGACCAAGGCTTAGATATTAAGCAAGCTGGTATCAGGGGTAAGAGTAGGTGTGAAAACAGAACCCGATCTGAATAATCTGTCCGATCAATTTGGCCTGCAACTTGAATTGACTAAAATTCAATAACCCGTAATCCACCCGATCTGCAACCCGATTGATCCGCAACTCGATTAACCTACAATCCGACTGACCCGCAACCCGATTAACCCGAATCCAATTGACCCGCAACCCGATTAAGCCAACAACGCGATTGACCCGAACCCGACTAACCCATGACCTGGCCGACTAACCCGAACTCTACCCAATCCACTTGAATAATTATTATATTATATAAGGCATAGTTTTTCAAAATGAAGTTTTTCATTCTAAAGTTAAACCAATTTTTTTTTTCAATTCGTATAGGGAATTTAAAAACATGAAACTCACTTGATATTATGTATTTTAATAAGATTACAAAAATTAAAATATGAAGATCACTTGAACACTAAGTTCTTTAACAAAATTAAAAAATCAAATAAGAAATATAAAATCAACACAAATGTCAATATTGATATTGAAGATCATAATTGATATCATGGACAATAATAATATAATATATATAAATTAAAATTTTGGTTAATTTAACTATTCAACAAAGTTATCAATTAAATATAAATAGAGTAAATTAATTTATTTGGTAATTTGATGATTTTAAAAGTAAAGAGAATTAGGTGTTTTCAACTTTTTTGGGAAGAGAAAGAAGAGGAAAATTTGGTGCTTTGTATTTTTTAGAAAAGAAACAAGAGGGAAGTTTTGATTTTGATTTTTGAGAAGAGAAAAAATTTGGAAAGTTTGGTTCTTTTGATTATGAAAAGAGAAATTTTGTGTTTTCAACTTTTTGAAGAAAGAAGGAAAAGGAAAATTTAGTTCTTTCAATTTATGAAAGAGAAAAAGGAGGGAAAATTGATTGTTTCTAATATATGGAAGGACAAAGAAGGAGAATTTTAATTTTTTTTTCTTTTTTTGTGAAAAAAAAGAAAAAGAAAATTTAGTGTTTTCAACTTTTTGGTTTTTCTAAAATTTAGCCTTTAACATATGAATTTTTAGGTTTTATATAGAGGGCATGACTAATTAACTATATTATGCTCTTATATGGAATGATTATTTGACTATATTAGATTTGAAAATCTATAATAAGTTATCTTATCTTCAATCTATTATCACTCGAATTATATCAAATGCATGTTATTTTACATTATAAATCATATACTTAATTACTTATAGATTATATGCTTAATCAAGTTTTTTTTTTCTCGATAAGTTGCTAATCTCATTAAGCTCCTCTGGCAAAATCCAGTATCGAATTACAACCAATTAACAGAAAAAGAAGACTCTACTAACACCCCCTTATAGCTACCTATACTTAAGCCCTCTGCATTACACCTGAGCACAGATTAAACGCAGTAAGAAAATCAGAATGACTAACCCCAAATAGACTAACATCAGCCTTAAAATTTGCTATAAGTTTCTCGACAGAAGTCTTGTTTCCACCAAAAATTCTGCAGCATCGTTCTCTCCAAATTGCAGCAAGCAGCCAGCACCAGCAGAATCCAATCACAGGCCCCTGGGTTTGTGTTTTCAATAGCCCCACAGCTGCTCCCAACCACGATTCCCACCTTCGATCACCAGGCATAGGACAGCCCTGCAAAACCACCATAGCAACCTGTCTCGTATATTCACACTCAAAGAACAAATGGTCACGCGTTTCACAATTACTGGAGCAAAGTACACAGCTAGAGTCCACCGACATCCCCCAACGAAGCAACTTATCTCTAGTGATAATTCTGTCTTTTATGACAAGCCAGGAGAGGAATCTATTGCTAGGAATAGTATATTTTGTCCAAAGAAGCCGCCACCAATTTACTGCAGGTTGCTTACTCCGCAAGGACTTCCAAACAACTGTAATTTTGTATCTCGGTAACAGTTTTCCTTCCCAAGACACTTCACCCCTGCCTTCCACCATCAATCTGTACTGAAACCAAGATCGAACTCTAAGCATCTTCCTCCAAATCCAGGAACCACATTGTGTCGCCTTCAGGTCCCATAAAGAGTTCCTTTTGATTTTATACTCATATGCCCAGGCTACCCAGAAAGATCCCCCCTGCATCAAGAGCAGCCAAAGTAATCTTCCAGCAGAAGCAACATTCCAAACAACAAGATCTTTAAGACCTAAACCACCCTCCTGTTTTGGAATGGTGATCAGATTCCAATCCACCTTCGCCCTCCCAGATTCACTTCCATGCCACAGGAAATCAGAACAAAGTTTCTGAACTCTCGTGACAACACATTTAGGTAGAATGAAAATGCCTAGCCAATATTGCAACACTGGGTAAATTACCGAGGAAATCAGCTCTAATCTACCAGCATAGGTAAGTTTTCGAGACCTCCAGGAGTGAAACTTAATCAAGTTTTTGGTTCTAAACTTAGACAAAACCATGTTTAGAGTATAACAAATATCCTCTATGTTTTGGAAATCAAAGTTTGAATTTAATTCATAATTAAATATAGTAGCAAAATCATAACTCATAATAATATACGATTAGGGTATAAGGTATATGGTTTAGGGTATAGCAAAGATCCCTTTTAATTTATGTTTTGAAAATCAAAGTCTGAATTTCACTTTAAATGAACTATAGCAGCAAAATCGTAACTCATAATGATATATGGTTAGGGTATTAGGATATATTAGGTGGGAGCGGTTACAGTGAGTACTACTTTTGTAGTAATCACCGTGGCTACTAAGGGTAGGAATGGTATTCAGGTGCTTATTGTTTTGGTAGTGATGCTAAAATTTATTGGTATTTACATTGGGTAGGAATGGTATTCTGGTGCTTATTGTTTTGGTAGTGATGCTAAATTTTATTGGTAGTGTTTACATTGGGTAGGAATGGTAGTTTGGTGCTTATTATTTTGGTAGTTAACTAGTTATGCTAAATTTTATTGGTAGTGTTTACATTGTGTTATTAGTGTATATCTGTTTCGATGGATTGGTATTCAATATTGAAAATGAGTTGCTTGACCACTTCCAGAAATACCAATATCATTATAGAAATAAAACAAGAAATCAATGCCAAAACATAAAAAAAAAAAAATTGTACCAATACAACCAATCAAGACGAACCAATACAACTACGGAAAAATAGTACCATTACACGGCAAAAACTACCAATATAAACAATCTATACCATTATAAGAATCAAACCAATACCAAAATCAACAAACACAACTACTACAATAAAAACAAAACAATACCATACCATAAATCAAATCACTACCACTGTCCAAATAAATACCATTCCACACCAACATAAAAACCACTACAAGAAACAAATGAATACCAAAATAAAAACAAACCCAATACCATATCAAAACTGAACCGATCGAAGATGGATTGGAGAAGACTTGCACCCTGGTCCTCCTCTGTCTATGCAAATCAAACAAAATGGCGTAGTGTTGTATCGATATCATCTAAGTTGAAGGAACAAGAAGAAGGGGGTTGTCAATTGATCATTTCCAAACTCTCTTCCACTGCATTTAAATAGAGACCTACACAAAGCCCTTCATATAACGTAAAAGATCAATCACCAATTCACTAATACATTAGTCATGGCGGCACTAGTACTACTACTGTCCATCTTTCTTCTTCTGCTGACGATGACGACGATCGCCTCCTCCGAAGAGGAGGATCCATACAAGTGGGGTTGTCGGAAAGGGCACGGAGGAGTTGACGAGGAGATGGCGGCCACGACGATGCAGGCTATCCTCGACAATATGGTCGCTACACTGCCGTATAGAAGTGAGGGGAGAGGATGATGGAGAGTGAGCGGTCGGCGGGGAGGGGAAGGGAGAGAGAGAGAAGGGAGGGGTGGACGGCCGATGGTGGGAAGGGAGTAGCGGTAGGATTTGCCTACAATATATAGAATAATCAGGTGTGATATATTATTATTTCTAAAACTAACCCTAATTAATTATAACGGTTAGATTAAAAATAATGGAAATGAATGGTAGGGATGTAGGTTGCCACGGTGACAACCATTTATTTAGTTGCCACCTTAACTCATCCCATGGTTAGGGTATACCAAATATCACTTTTTAATTTATGTTCTAAAAACTAAAATATGATTTTTACTTTAAATTAACTATAGTAGCAATTTAGATTTTTCCCCAATAAGTTCACTAACATTAAGATAAATAAAAACATAAATTTTGAAAACCCCAAATGTATAATTAAAGTTCACTACACCACTTTCCCCCACAAGTTAGATTTCTCCCCACTTTTCCTTCCCCAATTTAGATTTCCATCCAAAAACTTCCCCATTTCCTCCTCCCTCCTAGAAATTCCTCATTCCCTCCCCCTCCAAATTAGATTTCCCTCACAAAATTTTCCCATTTCCTCCACCCCACAATTTTACTTATATATTTTTATGATACATTATATAATTTATGGTTGGATTAGGACTATTAGATGAAAAAATAAAAATGTGCGTGTACATCACCATAACTATTAACTAGTGTGCTTTACTGATTTATGATTAATTACATGACAAGTTTGCAAGTTATACAATATGATTCAATTTTTTTAACTTCAATAAGTACATATTACATATACGATGTGGAAAGAAATAGTCTAAAAATTATGATTTTTTAAAGAAATATGTTTATAAAATGTGCAAATTGCAGTTACGAGTAGGAAGTACGTAACTCAATGCGCTGACCCAAAAACCCGCAACCCGAACTGCGCGCAACCCGCAACCCGATTGACCCAGAACCCGACTACCCCGAAACCCGATTGACCCGTAGTCCTACTAAGCCGCAACCCTACTAACCCGAACCCGCTGAACCGGTAAAGCGATGAATCTGAAACCCGACTAACCGGTAACCCGATTGAACCCAACCTGAACCAGCCAGATTGACACCTTAAGACATAGTTTTGTGCGAATGAGTGGGTACTGCATTCATGGTACATTCATGACTAAGCTAGGAGTGTTAAAGTATTGGTGTCTCGACTCTCGAAGTATAAATCGAACTTTTATCATAACGTTAAAGTTAAAAGTTCAGTTTGTATACCATAAAAAAATTGTACATTTGTCCAAACTATGGAAAACTATAATTTTGTGTACGGTCACAATATTTACCTAAATAATTTTAGTAGTCATTCTATTAATTTTGTGCTTGGATGGTTTGCTAATTTTGAGATAATGTTATTGAATTAATATTGTTTTGGGTATTTTTAGAAGTTTTGGATACCAAAAGGTAATTAAAAGTAAGAATAAATTTGGGTTGGATGGAAAACTGGAAAGACGAATTTTTCAGGAGATGTATCAGAGATTTTTTCGGAGCCATTTTTGGCAGATTGCACCTATGTTAAATTCTATTAATCATCGATTCAGGTAGTTTTGGCTTTACAACCATTTGCTCCAGCAGGTTATGTTAGAAACAGAACAACAACCAAGAATGAGGTTACCGAATCTGGAGCTTAGTCGCGGACTAGGTCGCTCTCTTTAACACGTTCACGGCACTGCCCTCGAAGCGCACGACAGACTAGAAACCGGTCGTCTCTAGGATAAAAACAGCTCCTCTCGTATACTCGGTGGTTTTGTGCAAAAACTGAAGCTCTCTGAACACTCTCTCTTATTGTGTTTCTGCTCGTTTGTGTTGTATTTAGAGGGGCTGGGGAGGCGGCTATTTATAGGAGCCGAACCCCTAGGAATATACCCTCTTACTTGGAGAATAAGTCGGATTAATTAAGGAAGACAATTATTCTGCTGGATTATCCTTCGAATATTCCTTTTAATCGATTATCCTCTTCCAACTCGTATAAGTCTAGGATACAGAATAACCTATTAATAATTAATTAATTTTGTTCGGAATTTCTCTAAAAATATATAAAGTCTCAAGCCAACCAACAGGCCGGTCGGTCAGTCGGCGCGTGTGTGTGTGGTGATCCGTTAGGTCCTCCTTCTCCCACAAAAGTGGGTCACCCCAAGGGGCATGCCCTTAGGAGAGAGACTCCTATCTTTATACACATTTCACCAAAGTAAAACTACCAATGTGGTAGTTTTTCCTCCTTGAGACTCTATAGCTTTAAAAACTATTCATATCCCCATTCATTTCCAACAGGTTACGGCGGCTGCCAAAAGACATATACTTGAGACGGAGACAAGTAAAAATAGAAGAAGTCAGGACATTAGATGGGAAAATCCCCCTCAAGTTTGGGTGTCCATGAATTCGGATGGTTTAGTGGTCAATGGCCAAGCGGCAACGGGTGGAATCTTGCGAGGGGAGGATGGAAGAATGATCAAAGCCTTTGCCATGAATTTGGGAGAAACTTCCATCACTAGAGCGGAGCTAGAGGGAATTGTTCAAGGGATGCGTTTGGCGTGGGAACAAGGCTATAGGAAAGTTATGGTGCAAACCGATTCACAGATTGCGATCTATTTGATCAGGGAAGCTGCAGATCGGCATCCTCACTTTCTTTTGGTACAAGAAGCGCGTCGTTTGCTCGCTTGTGACTGGCAAGTTCAGTTGATTCATGTCTTTAGAGAAGGAAACGTTGTGGTTGATTACCTTGCTTTAGTTGGTCATAGCTTACCTTTTGGTTTCCATTTTATTGAGGGGCATTACCCGCTCCTGAACTACTGGTTGTTTTTTTATTTGATCGGGGTGGAAACACCGTGTTTGGTTAATATATAACGGTTGGAGTACGCGTAGCACTCCGTTTCGTACAAAAAAATATTGTGATTACAGACAACAACCCCTTTTCAAATATATATTCATCACAACCGTACAAAGAAAAACCGTCGAGTTAATTGCATGGTTGGTCACTGAGATTACAAAAAACGTTCAAGTTTGGTCACTCGAAATATTTAAATCCATTGATAGTACTTCAGTTTACTGAAATAGTTCATGTTGGTCACTCTCTGTTCAACTCCGTTAACTTTGGATGATGTGGCAGTCAACTCTCAAAGTTGACTGTTAACTTAGTGACGTGACAATTAATAAATAATAAATAAAATATAATTTAATCTATTTTAATGTCCAACTCATTTTTACCATAAAATAAATAACCAAAATAATATTATAATTATTAATTACCAAATTAAAAGAGGCGCCCGACACCACATCCTTCCCCGCAATCACTTCTTCTCCACTCTTCCTCCTCAATTCCCTCCGCCATGAGGTCTTATAGATCATTGTGAACCCCGAATCAAATCCTCCTCCTCCCCTGCCGTCTCCAGTTCCGACCCTTCCTCCTTCGCCGAATCTCCACCACCACCTCCTGCTACGAGTCGACCGCCGCCCATCTCCTTTCAATTTGATAATTATTCAACTCAAGCTTTCGTTGCATCCCTCTGGCCTATGCACACACAGATCTCTGCTTTGTCCTCTCCTATCTGCCTTGAAATCATCGACTTTGCCCTTACCTGCTTCTCCCTTTTGCACGCCACCCACACTGTTGCGGCTTCCTTATCATCGGAACTCAGCCACATCCCCAAATTCCTTCTTCCCTCTCCCTGGTACTGTCACACTCAACAAATCCCACATCCCTTCTTCCCTCTAACGGTTTCTATCTCACCCAACAAACCCCAAATCCCTCTCTCTGCATCCACCAACCCACTTATCCTCCTCCACTCTCCGCAGAATCTCAAATACCCACAACCCCACCACATAGCATCCCTTCAATTTGATAATTATAACAATTATTTATTTTATTTTATTTATTATGGTAAAAATGAGTTGGTCATTAAAAGAGATTAATTTTTATTTCATTTATTATTTCTTAATTGCCACGTCACTAAGGTAACGGTCAACTTTGAGAGTTGACTGTCACATCAGCCAAAGTTAACGGAGTTAGACGGAGAGTGACCAAACATGAATGATTTCAGTAAACTGAAGTACCATCAATAGATTTAAATATTTCGAGTGACCAAAGTTAAATGTTTTTTGAAATCTCAGTGACCAACCATGCAATTAATCCGAAACCCGTCCAACAACAAATCCATACAGTTCAATCAACAAGCAAAGCCAACTAGAAACCCACAACGAAAATGAAACAAGCAACGAAAGGAAACAAACATTGGCGATCGAATTCCATAGTCATACATCAAGGAAGTATAGTTACGGATTAATTGGTGCAATTGAAGAAAGCCGCCATCCTCTTGATCAAAGCTCTAGCCTTCTCACCATCCAAATCGTACAAGTGGAAGCCATGCCCTTCCCCTTCCGTCTCAAAAACCTCTCTCACTCCCACCCATCCACTCCGCCCCAACGTTTCGTAGTAAAGCCGTCCTCTATCTCTCAGCAAATCCTTCTCCGCCACGCAGACCAGCACCCTCCTGCAGCCCAGGCCCACCAGTCCCGGCCCACCGGGAGCCTCCGGGTTGACCCGCGGGTCGTCGTTGTCCGGGTTCGACGGGCAAATAAACGGCCACAACTTGTCCGCCGCAGCCCTCACTTCGGGTTGTGGAAAACTAGGTTCGGAACCAATGGGCTTGGACCCCCAGAAGTACGGATGCACCAAAGCAGCCCCAAACAAAAGTCGACGGTGAAGGCCCATCGCCAAGTTATGGACGATATTAGCGCCGGCACTATCGCCTACTAAAAAAACCCGGCCGAAATCCGCGTGTTCGTTTAACCACGGATCGGGCCCGCATCGGGCCCGATGAGATTCGGCCCAGTTAAGGCCCGCGCGGGAGTCGTGGTACGCGGCTGGGATTGGGTTCTCGGGGGCCAGCCTGTAGTCGAACGAAACGACGACGGGTTGGGATTCGGCGGCGAGGCGGGACACGTAGCGGTGGTACTTGGCGCAGAAGGCGGAGGCGACGACGAAGGCGCCGCCGTGGAAGTAGAGCAGGAGAGGCAGTTTTTTTTGGTGGGCGGCGGGGCGATGACGGCGGGGGAGGTAGAGGCGGGCGGAGAAGTTGGATGACGGGACGATGACGACGTCCTTGGAGGAGACTCCGTCGGCGTCGGGGGAGGGCGGGGCGAAGTCGGTGTCGCGGAGGCGGTCCACGGTGCCGTCGTCGTAGACGCGGATGACGCCGGGGAATTCCGTCACTACATTGCGTTGGATGGAACTGGAGGGAGCCATTTTCTTTTTTCAGGGAGGCTTGTGATGAAGTTTGAAGATGGAGAACTTGATGCATGTGTCCTTGTTCCCATATATACACTTTGTTTCAGTATTTCCAGCTTCATCCATTTCAAACAAAACCTGGCCGCCATGGTTACGCAATGTATTTTCAAGTTCCACGAGTTTCTCATGATCATAATTATATGATACCTAATGCATATATATCCGAGGAAGTCGAGAAGTAGGGCGTGGAATTCTTTGGGTAGGCGGTCCTACGTACCACAAATGTAGAGGTGGCGTTGTACCTGCTAACCTAGGTGGAAAATATACTATAATTAATTTCTATTTTCGCGCTAGATGTGTAAGCTAGCTGCGTAGCTGGTATCATCATAGCAAATAATCACGGTTCTTAACTTCTTATGAGAGGGTGCTTGGTTGGTGAGTGGTGATTCCTCGCTCGAAATCGAGAACCGTAATTATAGCTCCAAAGAGTGACGAACCCAAAGGCTTTAGGTGTGTCGCAGACGTTAGTGGCCGGGCCAGACAAGGGTGTTTATTCATATTAGAAAAAATCAACTATATTTCAACATTAAATGAAATAAAAAATCAACAGCAGAATATTCAATATTTTTACAATTACATAATAATAGTTCGACTCACACCACTTATCACGAACAACGAAGAGATTTCATATTCTGAAAATATTGTAGAACACATTCCTTGTGCAAACTAGCACGCAACTCTTGTTCAATATATGTCACCAACTTATCGTTTATCCGATTTTGAATATAGTTTTTTGTATATTCATGGGTAAAAATTATCTTCCCACACTTATATATGCAACGTAACATACAAATAACTGTCAACTTGAGAACTAAATAAATAGATAGATACGGTTTGTGCTTATTTGTTTTCACTTTTTTCTAACTCGTCAACCCTTTATAAGTTTTTAAACATGCCATCTAATGGTAGATAAAATAATACATGAATTCAACTTATGACCTAGAAATATCATAAGATTTGGGGTAATTGGTATGAATCGTACTAGTATCGACAGGGGAAAAAAACCGTTGGGAACTTCTTATGGGAACAATAATAGTTGTAGGTTTAATTTTAGAACTAACTTATTATTTTAAATAAAGAATCGTAAGATTTATTAGAAACTCATCAAGTGAAGATTGTAAGGAAGATTGTTTAGTATTAGTTGGTCAAGTGTAATTCCCCAAACTTACTTTTCCCTTTGTAAATTTTTGCTGCACCTCCAAGCCAAGGGGGGGTGCAAGGACCCCCAACCTAATGAGTGCCTCCGCCACTGCCAGACATACGCTCCTACTAATTAAGTTGAGGTTTTCTAATGATGACTTATGTGAAATGATTGTATCTTACGAGCAAAGACGTTATATTTGTTGGGATTTTGATGGTGTGAATGGAAATAAAAGGGGAAAGATCAAAGAGAATCTCTTGAAGTACTATGTTGGTAACCCATGGGAAAGCGTGGCCGCGAATTCGGTCGATTGGATGTAATATGTTGGTAATCGGCAATATTGGTTTGTGTAACCAACCGGACCAAACCGAGTTGAGCCAAATCGAACCGATGTGGCGGTTGGAATAACCAAACCGTTCCAACTATCATGGGCCGAACTGATACAATGGTTCATTATTTTAAAATGAACCAATGTGTTGGTTGAGGTGTAACCACCCATATGAAGAGTCGCCTTCCACCCCTTAATTCATTTTCTATAAATAACACATAACCCCCTCTGATTTTGACAGACATTTTCCGGTACCAAAACTGTCAAACCGGGGTGCTCAATTAGTACGATATTGTCCGCTTTGGGCCAAGCCCACACGAATTTACTCTTGGGTTCCTACCCAAAAGGCCTCTTACTAATGAGCTTGGTGGGCACTAATATACTAGGGTCCCTTCCCTTGTATTACCGATGTGGTACTTGGATTGTCCCATAACAATCCTCCCTCAAGACAAGGACCACGAACTTCGTGTCCTCACCTCAGCGATTATCTCGATCTGCCATACACCTTGTATCGATGGGCTTCTTAGTACAAGGATTTTCCCAGACGCAGAACTATCTTTGATCTGCCAAATCAAACGCGGATCTCCTTTGATCCGCCAAACCAGATGTAGCCCAAACGTGGATCTCTCGTGGATTCACCAAACAGACACAGATCTCCTTTGACCCACTAGACAAACGCAGATCTTAAATCGCAAGACCACCGAATGAGGGTCCCACCAAACTGACGTCCACCGCCCGAACCAGACTCTTATACCACTCGTCATAACCAGGGTGCTTAATTAGTACGATATTGTCCGCTTTGGGCCAAGCCCGAACAGTTTTACTCTTCGGTGTCCTCCCCAAAAGGCCTCGTACTAATGAGCTTGGTAGATACTAATATACAAGGGTCCCTTCCCTTGTATTACAGATGTGGTACTTGGATTGTCCCATAACAAAAACTTTGCCAAAATCCAAAACTAGTTTCCTGCATTCTTTTCAAAGAGAAAATCGAGTCAAGTGTGGTTCTCGCCGGTTCACTACGTTCGATGGTTTCCGGGGTTTGAGGTACCTAGAGGTGGCAATTAGGATCCAAATCCATGAATCCAATCCAA